TCACAAATTCAAAACAAATAAACAAAAAACAAAAAGAGCATACATAGGAACCAAAAAAAATCTAATATATACCTTTGCAGTAACTAGTGACATTTCTCTTATCACACAAACACAAGAAGTCCTGTGTCCGAGTGTCGAAACCGCACGTCCCGCCTCCCTTCAACCTGTCCTGACACAAGAGACAACGTGTCGTGACAGGAATCTCGAATTCTACCCGAATCCCGTATTCCGGAACCTGATCAAAATCCGGCCTCGTTCCAAGAGTCCTCCAATAAACGCTTGTATAGCTCGCGCAATGTCTCATCATCATTCTTATAGACTCACTCCCCTTTGGATAGTACAAGCAGCACGTACTCCCGTGCAATGCCGATGCACAACCTGGCAAATTCCTGCACAGTACAGTGTTTTTGTGAATAAAACGAGTTAGAATCAGACATGCGCGAGCTCGGTTTATAGCCTTATACACTACAAAAACAAATTGTCGTATTCCAACAGAAAATCCGACGGTAATATAGTTTAACTAATGGATATTCTAATGGTATAGCTTCTGTTGGAATGAACTTTCCATTGAAATTTCAGATGGTATTTGATGATCCCAACGACAATTTTTCCAACGGTTACTATAGGGTTTCTTGTTGGAATATGCAAGTTTTGATCAAAATTTATTTCAATCCATATTTTTTGGAAAATCTGTCATTGAAATGTCAAAGTCCAGTGAAAATTCCAATAAAAAACTCATTCAACGGCATATTTTGTTAGAATTTCCGTTGGAATCCATTGAAAAATTCCAACGAAATTAATAGCATTGGAATATCTACAGGAATTGGTGTTGGAATTCCAATGGAATATATTGCCGTTGAAATTTTTTATCATTGAGATAAGCCGTGAAGGCTCGATTTTCGAGGCTGGCTCACTCACTAACCTGCAGAGATGGCTCGACGTGTCGCACGTGGAGTCACACTGCTCGGGAAAACGGTTGCAAAAAACAGGTTTCGGCCCCATGATCACGTCCCTCTCGCTGCAGTTGAAAAAGAGATAGTCGTTCTCCCGAGAAAGCCGGAGGCGGGTGCTGGTGTCGAGGCTGAAGGGCCCGGCGGGCCGAGAATCCGGGCGGCCTCCACAGGCCCACATGGATGGGTCCATGACAATGAGGTGCGGGTCCGAGTAGCTTATGTTATGGACCGGGTATATGCCGGATGGGGTCCGGAGCTGAAGTTGGGCCGAGTCGGAGCAGACTAGGAGGTTTTGGTAGTATGGGCTGCCACAACCGTTGTCTATGCCGAAAGGGTAGTTGATGGGAATCGGGCCGCAGGAGGTTCGGCATAACGGGCTCTTTCGGGCCTTTGTTTGGGTTAGGAGTGTGAGGCAGGTGATGAAGATGGGGAGAGTGCAAGTTGAAGATGTTTGAGCCATTTTTTTCTGAGGGGGTTTAAGTTAAGGTTGTACTTTTTGTTCAAGGGGTTTTTGTGTTGATTTTGAGTGAAGTTTGATGTGCTTGTGTTTTCTTTTTCAGTGGCTTTTGCTTTTGGGATTTGTTTTCTTGATCTTTTGAATGGTAATGTATGTGCTTTATTCTGTCTTCTTGATCACTACTTGTTGATTTGTATGAGCTTTTATGAAGAATGAGGAGTGTTGATAAGTTTAAGTGAAGATTCTTTGGTTTTTAAAGTGTTTTTATATTAGTGCTAGTCATTTCAAAAATAAAAACCAACAAAAATGTGTACTTCTAAAATAAAATATGTATTGTATTTGTATCATATCATATTATTTATGCAAAATTGAAAAACTTGATTGGTTATTGAAAAATATAATATTTTGTGCAATGACTATATATTTATTAATAAATTATGACATGTAGCAGCTAACCAAACTTTTGCCATCTCATTTTAAAATTTTTGTTCTTTTTTTGCAAGGGAGAGGCTGGGCTACCACATACCAGCTTTCATTGGGCTTGGTCTGTAAAACAAGTATAAATGGCCGCGTGACATGTTAATTTAAGAAAATGGGCTAAAAGCTGCAATGATCAAACAAAGCCCAATAAATAAATTCTTATCCAATTTTGAAAACAATAAATAATAATAATAATAATAATAATAATAATAATAATAATTACTGAGCATTTGAAACACTGAAAATTCAATCTAACATACATGTGCACTGTACATATCGAAATTCATCGTTAACAATAAATAATAATAATAATAATAATAATAATAATAATAATAATAATTACTGAGCATTTGAAACACTGAAAATTCAATCTAACATACATGTGCACTGTACATATCGAAATTCATCGTTGGATCTCATGTACAAACATATACTCACACGGGTATATGTTGATACAACAGTGAGAACCCCCAATGTATGCATTGCACACATAGTAGGGTCAAATTTTCCTTGAAACACAAATAATTTTATGAGATGACCAAACTATTAGACGGTCGACCCGTTATACTCTTTTAAAAAATAAATTTAAAAATGCATACTTATTCAATAAGATATTAAGATGTCAAACTTTTGTTTACATGTTTTTAGAGTATGACGTTTCAATTCAACATTACACATTTTCGTTGAAAAAAATATGCTTGTCTAACTGATAAAACTGCATAACATCAATCTAATGTTGTCAAAACTGAATGGATCGGCTAGTTGGACCAGTAATCGGTCTGTTGACCTGCCCGGTTTGCTGAAATGAACAGTGAGCCAATCAAAAATCAATTAACACCAGCCGATCTGATCAGATAAACAAAAATACATATTTAAATATGATGAGTATGTATATTTTATTTAGTAATTAGTTTAAACATTTGAATGTTTTAATATATATATATATTAAATAAAATATTATGTATATGTATATATATCTTAAATATTAATAAATTAAATTATCATTCAACCATTGGTCCAATTAGTCAATCGGTGAACCAAAACAATGGCACCAACATTGCCACATTTTGGGCAGTTGCACTATCGTGTGCCCTCGCACACTTAGCTAGGTGTGCCAGGACAATTTTGCATGCGTCCCCTCACCCCAAAAATTAGAAAATTTAGAGAGTGTAGTGCAAATTCTCATTTTTCCCTTTTTAATTGAAGAATGAGACATATTGCATAAATTAAAATATCATTCATTATTTATATTAAAAAATAAAATAAAAATACCAAAAATCATAATTTTTTATTATCTATAAATATAGACCACATTTGATAGGTTTTTTAACACAACTAATTTTTCGTTTTTTCGTAATTATTTTATTATACTGACATATAATGAACATGTTACATAATAAGATGAATATGTTTTCAAATAAGATGAACATGTTCCAGATTGAAATAATACATATTCATCTTATTTTATAACATGTTCATCTCATTTTGGTAATATATTCATCTTATTTTATAACATGTTCACCTTATTGTGTACGTAACATGTTCATCTTATTTTATAACATGTTCAATTTAATATGTAACATGTTCATCTTATTTTAGAACATGTTCATCTAAATTTCATCTGTGAAAATGTAACATTTGCATCTTATTCTATGACATGTTCATCTTACTCTATAACATGTTCATCTGTGAAAATGTAACATTTTCATCTTATTCTATGACATGTTCATCTTACTCTATAACATGTTCATCTTACCATGTAACATGTTCATCTTACTATGTAACATGTCCATCTTATTATAGATTTGCGTCATAATCTTTCAATAAGATAAATTAATTGTAAAAAAATGATAAATTAATTGTGTTCCAAAAAATATCAAATGTGGTCTCTATTTGTAGAGAATGAAAAATTTTGAAATTTGGTATTTTTATTTTTATTTTTTGATACAAAATATGAATGATAATTTAATTTATATAATATGATATATGAAATTCATTATCCAATAAAAATGAGACACATGTCCCATTTAAAAAAAATATATTTTACCTCCTTACCTCACGCGCTCTTGGGGGTGTATTTCACAAAAAGCCCTGACACACATAGCAAGGTGTGCCAGGGCGCACCTAAGAGCATCCACAATGCTTTGAGGTCTCTTTTTGCATATGTGGCAAATAAATAGACTTAAGTCCATAATGACATGAACAAACTCAAGCTAAAAAATTCGAAATCTATCAAATGCAAAACACCAAAGTACTAGGTCTAGAATAGTTAACAACCAATAAAAATATAGTAATAATAAATGCATACAAAAAAAAATGTGTTTTATCTATTAAAAAAAAGAAAATTATGAACAATTAATGACTAGGTGGGTTTGCACTTGGGTCCAAAATAGACTCAAGTATGGACTTAGTCTCTTTTTTCTATTGCCACATAAGTTAGACTAGGTCCACTTTTAATTGCATTGTGAAATATTTTGTAATAGACTAGGTCTATTTTCTACATAGCATGTGATTTTTTTCTAAGAGATCCAAAACATTGTGGATGCTCTAACTAATTGCCCATTTCGGGGGGAAAATTTCGAGTCTCGACTTTGACCTTATCTCCACAAAGTTGCCAATTATAGGGAGCCATGCCTTTTTCTCTAAACGGCCAATGACTAATTTCCGTTATTGATTCTTGAATTGATAAATACAATAGACACAATGAAACCTATCTGATTTGTTCGGCTATTTAACTGTTTTTTAGTATGTAACGTCGTTTTTATGTTATTGAAATTTATCGTTGAAAAAAAAATATCGTTTAATGTCTTTTCAGCTATTTAACTGTTTTCTAGTATGTAATTCGTTTTATTTTATTGAAATTTATCGTTTGAAAAAAAAAATATCGTTTAATGTTTTACGTACAAAAGCAGGTAATATGAGCAAGATTTCGATTTTAATTACCAAATAGTTAACTACTAACAAAGAAATACTGATAAATTACTCTTTGTTTTATCTTTCACAATATGATGTAAAGTGAACTAAACATACATAGCAAAGCCTTTAGGAAAACAAAGAACACAGCAATATCAAATGTAGTGCTGCAAACGAGTCGAGCCACTCGCGAGCGCTCAAGCTCGAGTTTGACCGAACTCGAGTCGAGCTCGAGCGGCTAGAGCACAAACTCGAGTCGAGCTCGAGCCCATATTTTACATTGTCGAGCGGCTCGAGATATATAAAATTACTAAAATACCCTTGTATATATATGTATTTATTGGTTATTTTATAAAATTGCTTGAAAAAATTCGAACCGAACTCGAGCCGAGCTCAAGCTTTTGTATTTTTTTTCGAGCTCGAGCTCGAGCCTCATAAATCGAGCTCGACGAGCTCGAGTAACTAAAAAAAAAAAATCAATCCTGCTCGATAAGGCCAATGCTCGACTCGGCTCGGCTCTTTTGCAGCCCTAATCAAAGGCAACTAAAACCTAAGTAACCAAACCACATTAGAAATACATTTTTTTTTCCTTTTTCTTTGTCCTCCTAAGGTACAACCTAAAAGTGCACAAAACTCACTCCAAGAAAGTCTCCATAACATCCGAGTACAATCCTCCTTCATTCATAAACTCCCCCGAATTGGGCCCGCGATGGCCCACTGAATTCGAGGTCGCCATTTGCTCGGGCAACGTTAAACTCCTCTTGTTCGAGTGGCAATTATCCAAGCTCAAGAACTCGTTCGGGTTACTACCACTATTATTATTATTATTATTACTACTATTACTACATTTATTACTACTATTATTGTTCTGTGCGCCCGAGTGGGCCTCCGTCGGGTTGAACAAGAGCTTGGCCTCATCGGCCCGGCCCGTGAGGGCGCTGAAGAAAGAGAGCCCGTTGGGCCACTTGATGTCATTATTCTCATGGTCAGCCATAATGGGCCTCTCCATCTGGATCCGGGCCGGGCTTTGGAAGGCCGGGGGTGCAAGCATCGGTGGGCTTGAGGAGACGGGCCTCGAGGCCCAATTGAAGAGGGGAGGGGGTGGGCGGATGGGCATTGCGGGCCGGGTTGACGAGAAGATCTGGGACAGGTAGAGCCCGGATTGGTAGCCCAAGGACTCGAATGTGTGTCTCATTCTCAGGACAAAATGCAGGTCTTCTGGTATCTGTATTTTAAGGTAATGAAATATTTTGAATGACTAAATTAGTGTGAGGTCATTTCTACACTAACTTGAGGGGGAAAAGCAAATTTATAACCGATTCTCTCTTCGGCCCTCGTTTTCTTTCGACAAATATGGAAAATACGGTTATTTTGAAAAATTTGCAGAAATATTTTAGAAGTGTGGGATATGTATACTCACAATCTTGCAGGAACCAAGTTGGAGAAGGCCATGCCCAGCTTGAATAACAGCTATAGTCTGTTAAAAAGCAATAGAATAGTAAACATATATCTTTTCTCCAAGAATAAAATGAAGAATATAAATGATGTCTGCAAGAAAAAACCAAAGCTGATACAAATCAACTGTTTTGAGACACAGATTCCTCACCTGAATCCCTGATTCAAACTGTTCATTCCACTCTGGAGGTAGCTGCAATTGACAAATTATTATTATCATTATTATTATTATTGAGAGATGTTACGGTCCCGTTACGGAACCATTCCGTCGGGATTTGTAACCGTTAGATCAACTATCTCCGACGGTTACATAATGATCTGACGGTTACAAACCCGATGGAATAATTCCATACCGGGACCATAACATTTTCCATTATTATTATTAACTCAATCAATCAATCAATCAGTTACACAGTAGCAGTTCTCCATGACAGCAATAATTGGGACATTGAAAGTTTACTTTTTCCTCAACCACATCATCATATCAACATCAAGAAATTTGGTACAAGATAAAATTTATCTTATTACTTGGGAAAAAAAAAGTTCAAAATTTCATCTGCTGCTTGTAAGAAACGGGGGCAAAACGGGGTGCGGTTCCACGCACGTGAAGCGCAACATAATCAGGGAAAGCCCAGATAAAGCCCAAGTGGGGTTCCATTCCCAAACAAATTGGTTTTGGGATGAAACTTCACTTGAGCTTCATATGGGCTTTCCCTGTTCGTGCTCTTCATATGCGTGGGACCCATCCGTTTTTCACTCTGTTTCTTACAAAGCTATATCAAGATCAAAAGAGCTAATAAATGAACTCACAGCATCAAATGAGCTCTGCCAATAGTTGGAAATGTTTGGTTCACATTCTTCTGGCTCTTTGAACACCCATTTGTGGCATTTATCAGAAGCTACTTTTCCCATCAACCTGCTTTCAAATATAATTTTTCACACACAGACCCACAAAAAATAAAGAAACACACACACAAATTAAAATTTAAAAAAAAAAATGAAAAAAAAAATTGGAGAAAACATTTCTAAGACATTTTTACAAACTTCTTTAATCTAATAAAATAAATTGAATATTTTATATAAAAAAAAAAATTAAAAAAAAAAAGAACCTACCCAGTAGTACCCACCCTTCTCCATAATTATACAACTGAATGGACATTTTGCTGAAGGATTTTCTGACAGGGTCTTCTTCACCACCATTCATTCTCTCATCCAAACACTCTCTGCAGAACCCATCTTCCCACATCAACATTCTGCAACAAGAAAACCAAAACAAAAAAACCCAAGAAAATACAGACAAAAAGGAAGAACAAACATCATCAGAAAAGACAAAAGGAAAAATCAGACCTTACACTATAAAAAAAAACCCCTCCAATTCCAACGACAAAAATTTTCGTTGAAAATTCCAATGTATATTCCAACAAATTTAATTTTATGTTGGAATAAGTGTTTGATAATTGAGAAATTTCAACGGATTTTTTCCGTTGGAATAGCTGTAGGAATTTATTTCCATAACCATTGAAATAGCTATTCCAACGGAAATATAAAAATTTCCAACAGGAAATTTCCATTGTAATGTAAGAGTTTTTTTTAGTGTTAAAAATCAACTCAGCCCCACCACTTTCTATCCTTATTGATAACAAAAACCAAAAACATTCTGACAAAATCATAAGTAAAAATGAAAACTTTTTAATCACACTCACAAGCTGCCATTATCGTCTCCAACTTTGCAGCCATTGCCACCTCTAACTCTCCTGGTAACAAGAAAAAAACCCAGAAAAAAAACCCTCTTAGACCCACCTTCCAAATCTCAAGAAAATCGAAAAAAAACCGAACTGAATCGCACACAAAGATTCGATTTTTAGACATTAAAAGCAGATGAAAACAGATTAAAAGTGGTAACAAAATTACGGGCGAGGGCGAATAGTCCAGAAAACAGAGTAAATCCAGTCGGTGTTTAAGCAGACGCTTCTAAGGGCCTTGTGAAGGGCCATCATCCCAACAGCCTCTTTGCTCCTCTCTCTTCCCCCTGAGCCCACCATTTCTATTTCTCTCTCTAGCTTTTCTTTTTCTTTTTTTTTTTTTT